CTAGCAAGATGTGACAGTCGTGTAGGCCGAGAATTACTTGAGTCATAGTTCACGGGCCCCCATTCCATAAACAAGTGCAACGACTTGCCCAATCCATATTCAGTGCTGAGGCTGAATTTGGCCAAAGCAAGTTGCCATTTGGGGAACGCACAGGTCACCGCGTCGTCTTAGGCCAACACCGGGGAACCAGCTGGCCGAGCAATCATCACGTCCACTTCCACCACGCGTGATGAAAGTTCAGAAAGTCAGGGCCCGCAGGTTAGGAGGAGCCTAACGGACAGTTAGCAGGCAGCCACTATGCAAGCAGCGGCTTGTACCGATCGGTAGTGCACTGTTGGATAAGTAATCAGGACAGCGCAATAACTGGTCGTTAGGCCTGCCCTTAACACCGCATGCCAGCAATCAACATACAAGAGGGCAATTATCGTTAATTGTCACTATTTTTAATATGCGTGCAGTAATTACTCTGTCCTATAAATGCTGCAAATTCTGTGCATTTGTTACCCGCTTCTACTACTGCTTTCTCTGCTCATGTCTCTGATAAAGAAACCGCGACGGATCTCGAAACCCCAGGCAAATAAAAATGTTGTGCCAGCGATCGAATCTTCTTCTCAGTCTATCATTTCACATCCCAAACTCGAAGAATGTGCTTACTGTTGGGGTGACCGCAGTACCTTTTTCTCTTTGCTACTTAAACTGCGATTTAAATGTAATTTGATACGTTGATGTACTATTTAGAATGTTTGTTGTAAGTAACATAGCCCGGGCCAAAATATTTTTAAAAAATGGTCATAGTAATACGAAATAAGTAGGCAGTTTTGCAAGTTAATCAAAGGCATGTTGATCCCCTTAATAGATTGTTACCAAATAAAAAAGCAAATTAGATAACGTTTTCAGTTATTGTTTGCATTGTTTGGTTCATAAATTTTTACTTCTGCCGCTTACCCTTTAGTAAGAAATGCAAAATCTGTTTACCTAAACGCCCGAGAAGGTCGGCCGCACCGCATACCACACAATACTTTGCGGTTTTAAACATTTCCATTGACGTCCCGTGAGTTTGGGCGCCGTGCCGGACATGACGTGAAATCTTCCATCTACAAGTGTCATGCGCAGTAACCAAAGACGCATGCTAGGAGCCCGTGTTTGAGCATTATTGGCTCAGCGCCAAATGTAAAATTCTGGGGGGGAAGGAGGAATATGAAGGCTAATCCCTTTCATTGGACCATTTCACAAGAGTCCAATGATACTTTTAGGGAACACGCCAAAAGGACTGGAATAAACAGACTTCAACGAGATTTTCGATTCACTTGCCTGTGACAAGTTTCTAGGCAGGCTTTTGGAAGTATACGAATTAAAATAATGCACGTGCTTTCCCTGACAGCTTTTTGAACCACTTATATTTTGAAGTACCGTCACGTAGGCTTTAAAGATAGGAGAGGTAGTGGGCAGCAATTAGCGCTGCTGAGATAATGAAGATAAGCGAGCCGCTCGGTTGTACTTAAAAGCGATTAGAGCCGCCTTAGTTCAAACCAACGCTGTTTTCTCAGTCCCTTCGATAATCTTGCCTCTTTACTGGCCTTGGCTCTTTCAAACCTGGCTTCTCTTCATATCAGACTACTGTGACATACATTTGACCGGTATGGATAGATTAAACGAAACACTGACAATG